GTGTGTTAGTGTGTATGTTAGTGGGAGTATGTGTGTGTGTGTGTGTGTGTGCGTTAGTGTGTGTGTGTTAGTGTGTGTGTGTGTGTAAAACAGCAAAGTGTTGAACCTTGAAGCATTTGGGCAGATTGAGGTGGTTCAATGTGCATAACCTTCAACCACTAAATTATATTACTGTTATTAATGAAGTACAAGTTCAATTCTCCATCAATAGCAGACCATAAACAGAATATTTCGAGAATAATGCACTTTATAAAGCCTATGACTTTTTGGTAAATACATCTAACAACCATTTAAATATGTTGATGCATTCAAGGAAATTATCAATGAAAATGTGATAGTTGTGTTTCAAAAACTTGTGTTTCTTACCACAAAAGCCACACTAATAATGTTAAAATATTCCATTTCCTCTTTCTAAGATTCGACTCACTAAAATTCTGCAAAAAATCATTGTATATACATATATATACTTGTATATACACAGGAAAATATACTCATGCTATTTTACAAGAATCCACAACTGCATCTGAAATGTTCCTGGGGAGTGCACCTAGTGTTAACACTTTCAATAAATAATAATAAGTGACTCAAACAAATCTACAATAAGCCTACTGAATCATGCTCATGGAAGACTACATAAAATTATAACATTTTAAAACAGTTATCAATGTAAACACACATAAATAATGTTGTGACAAATAATATAAAAGTAGTTACATGAGATCACAATAGAGGAGGTTAACTTCACTTGGAATGTTTAAGGTGGTGTTCAATACTTTTTGAGCATATTCTCAAGGCATGAGCCATACCCTGGAGACAATAGAATCTGATGACATTAACAACACATGTGTCAATCTTCTATGCATGTAACTCCTCCTTCAACATAAATCAAGATACCGTACATGCATACTACACTTGACAGGGAATTAGAGAATTAATACCAAGGTTTCATATTTCAGTAAAGAGGAGGCAATATATATTCTGCTGCCATTAAAATAAAATTTTACCCTGCTGAATATCCTTAAGAAAGTTGGTGTGTATGTACAGTATGTTGGCACGAACAACAAGAAGTATACAGTATAATTAAAATGAGAGTGTACAGGGTACATCACTGAATCTTAACACATTCTATTGTCTACTTATTATGACTCGATACATCACTCACATTAAGGATTCTCAGTGACAATTTAAATTGAGCCTACATCAATACATCATGTCAGAAACAAAACTAAACAGAAAACTACCAGTTATTGCAAGTAAAACTTTGGACGTAACATTAAGTTTTACCAGGGACTAGTTATGACGGAACAGGACCATCTCATTTTTGTTCAATTTTTGATTCACTGATATAAAAAACTCCAGATCCTTGCACCTAATGACGCATAGATAATATCTCTTCTATTTCATCATGTACCAATGAAGAGGTAAGAGTCAAAGATAATATTGGCTACTTAAAGCTGAATAATCTTTGTCTTGCACTGCATTTTCCGTTCCTTCATCACTAGATCTTCTTCAAGCTGCCTCTGACGTTGAGCACGCAAGCGACGAGGGTCTAAATTGGCCCCAATACTCTGCATGCCCCGTGCCAAACGACCTGCACCAGGCGCTAAACTCTGTACTCCTCGAGCTAACACTGAGAAGGGAGCTAATACAGCCTCCTTGTTAAGAGCTGACAATGGGGATACAAGGTTACTGGGAAGTTCCCCCCCTGAGTTAACTCCTGCAGACTGTATGGAGGATCCACCTATGTGTCCCTCTGAGTGACTAGATGAGAGGTGCAACTGGAGATCTGTTGCAGAAGATGCTCGAAGCAAACCTCCCTCTCGTTCCTCACGCACGTCTACTTCATCAGATGAATGGGATATCTTCCTTACTCTCTGCATGAGAAGTGTTGGAGAGAGGCCTCCAAATGTAGGAGTGATTGCTGGTTTGTGTATGGAGTCTCCAGTCCCACTTACTAATATCTCTGGAGTAGGAGAACGATTGGTGGGCACTCCAGGAATGAGGTTTCTCATTGCCAGAGTAGAATGAGGGATGGATGAATCACTATGGCAGCGGACCAATGGAGGTGATGGATAACGTGGTGGAGAGACAGGTGGAAGAAGACTGGTAGCCACTACTCCACAAGAGACTAAATGAGTCTCGTTTCCACCCAATGGAATAATAATATCATTTCCATTCTGTACACAAACTGCAGGCTTCTGTGAAACAAGAAAATTAATAATTTTACAAATTGTACAACAATGACAGACTACAAATATATATACACATACACACACAGTAGTACCCCGATTTACGCGGTCAATTGAACCCACAGGGTACCGCGGAAAGTGAAATCCGCGTAAATGGAACAACAGAACATATGGGATTAATTCCAATAGAGACTGGCCCGACCCCCAAACTCCACTTTTTCCGACACAATACCTATGTTGTAGTAAAAATAACATCTAAATTTTATGATGGTATGCTCACACAATTAATATTTAAGAGAAATACAGTAACCAGGTTAATGTCCATTCAAATAATAGACTCAAATCCCCCACCCCCCCTCTTCCCACGCTCGCTGGCTCCTCCCTCTCTGAGAAATGTTTGGGTGAAACACTAGATTTTAACGTTTAGTAATAAATAATACCTCAGACTAAAGTTAGGATAATATAATTGACATTTCTGGATTCCTTGCAGGTCAGGGAATATTTTGAATGTAAACTTCATATATTTTGCACAAAAGATAAAATACTTGCTTTGTGTAAACCAAATTATTACATTAGATCTAAAATTTGTATGTCTAATGCAAAATCCATGATGTTTATATTCAAAATGATCATCATATTGTAAGAATTCCAGCAATGTAAATTATATTCTGGTCCAGTAATTTGTATGAATTTTATGAGCTAAAACAAATATCTTCAGATAATAAAAAAAAAATATTCTTCATGACACTATCTGTCAATCAAAGTACCCCAACTTGCCTCTTCCCCTCTTCCAACCGCTCCAGATGGTCGGTTGGACCCAACCCTCCCCCCCACCCCCACCTTCCCTCCCTACCAGAGAAATGTTGGGTGAAAAACTAATTTTAGCTTTTAGTAACAAATAATACCTCAGACTAAAGTTAGGATAATATAATTGACATTGCTGGATTCCTTGTAAGACCAGGAACATTCTAAATATAAATGTCATATATTTTGCACAAAAGATAACATATTTACTCAAGAGTAAACATTAGATCTAAAATTTGTATGTCTAATGCAAAATCTATGATGTTTATATTCAAAATGATCATCAAATTGTAAGAATTCCAGCAATGTAAATTATATTCTGGCCGGGTAATTTGTATGAATTTTTTGAGCTAAAACAAATATCTTCAGTTAATAAAAAAAAAATATATTCTTCACACCGTGCCAGATGGTCGGTCGGTCCCTCCCTCCCCCCCACCCTCCATCAACCCTCCCTACCAGATAAATGTGTGGGAAAACCAGAATATTTACCTTTTTAGTAATAAATAATACCTCAGACTAAAGTTACGATATTATAATTGACATTGCTGGATTCCTTGTAAGACCAGGAATATTTTGAATATAAATGTCATATATTTTGCACAAAAGATAACATATTTACTCAGAGTAAACATTAGATCTAAAATTTGTATGTCTAATGCAAAATCTATGATGTATATATTCAAAATGATCATCAAATTGTAAGAATTCCAGCAATGTAAATTATATTCTGGCCGGGTAATTTGTATGAATTTTATAAGCTAAAACATATATCTTCAGTAAATAAACAAAGAAATATTCTTCAAGGATACTATCTGTCAATCAAAATACTCGGCCCTATCTGGATCAGTCCCTCCCTCCCTCCTCCCCACCCCCCACCTTCCCTCCCTACCAGAGAAGCTTTGGGAGAAAATAGTAATTTACATTTTTAGTAATAAATAATAACTCAGATTAAAGTTAGGATAATATAATTGGCATTTCTGGATTCCTTGCAGATCAGGGAATATTTTGAATGTAAACTTCATAGATTTTGCACAAAAGATAAAATACTTGCTTTGTCTAAACCAAATTATTACATTAGATCTAAAATTTGTATGTCTAATGCAAAATCCATGATGTTTATATTCAAAATGATCATCATATTGTAAGAATTCCAGCAATGTAAATTATATTCTGGCCGGGTAATTTGTATGATTTTTATGAGCTAAAAAAAAATAAAATTATACTTCACGCATATATGGGTAGATGAACCGCGGAAAGTGAAAGTTCGGTTCTGGCGAGGCACCGCATATATGAGAAATCGTGTAAAGTGAAACTGCGTAAAGCGGGTTAATACTGTCTGTATGTATGTATGTATGTATGTATGTATGTATGTATGTATGTATGTATGTATGTATGTATGTATGTATGTATGTATGTATGTATGTATGTATGTATGTATGTATGTATGTATGTATGTATGTATGTATGTATGTATGTATGTATGTATGTATGTATGTATGTATGTATGTATGTATGTGTATGTATGTATGTATGTATGTATGTATGTATGTATGTATGTATGTATGTATGTATGTATGTATGTATGTATGTATGTATGTATGTATGTATGTATGTGTATGTATGTATGTATGTATGTATGTATGTATGTATGTATGTATGTATGTATGTATGTATGTATGTATGTATGTATGTATGTATGTATGTATGTATGTATGTATGTATGTATGTATGTATGTATGTATGTATGTATGTATGTATGTATGTATGTATGTATGTATATGTATGTATAGTATGTATGTATATATATATATATATATACATATACATATACACACAGTAGAACCCCGATTTACGCGGTCAATTGAACCCACAGGGTACCGTGGAAAGTGAAAACCGCGTAAAGTGAACAACAGAACATATGGGATTAATTCCAATAGAGACTGGCCCGACCCCCAAACTCCACTTTTTCCGACACAATACCTATGTTGTAGTAAAAATAACATCTAAATTTTATGATGGTATGCTCACACAATTAATATTTAAGAGAAATATGCTCACACAATTACAGTCGCCAGGTTAATGTCCAGACTAAAGTTAGGATAATATAATTGTAATAAATAATACCTCAGACTAAAGTTAGGATAATATAATTGACATTTCTGGATTCCTTGCAGGTCAGGGAATATTTTGAATGTAAACTTCATATATTTTGCACAAAATATAAAATACTTGCTTTGTGTAAACCAAATTATTACATTAGATCTAAAATTTGTATGTCTAATGCAAAATCCATGATGTTTATATTCAAAATGATCATCATATTGTCAGAATTCCAGCAACGTAAATTATATTCTGGTCCAGTAATTTGTATGAATTTTATGAGCTAAAACAAATATCTTCAGTTAATAAAAAAAAAATATTCTTCACGACACTATCTGTCAATCAAAGTACCCCAACTTGCCTCCCCCCTCTTCCAACCGCACCAGATGATCGGTCGGTCCCAACCCTCCCCCCCACCCCCCACCTTCCCTCCCTACCAGAGAAATATTGGGTGAAAAACTAGATCTTAACTTTTAGTAATAAATAATACCTCAGACTAAAGTTAGGATAATATAATTGACATTTTTGGATTCCTTGCAGGTCAGGGAATATTTTGAATGTAAACGTCATATATTTTGCACAAAAGATAAAATATTTGCTTTGTGTAAACCAAATTATTATATTAGATCTAAAATTTGTATGTCTAATGCAAAATCCATGATGTTTATATTCAAAATGATCATCATATTGTAAGAATTCCAGCAAAGTAAATTATATTCTGGCCAGGTAATTTGTATGAATTTTCTGAGCTAAATAAAAAAAAAAAAATTATACTTCACGTGTATATGAGTGACGCACCGTGGAAAGTGAAAGTCCGGTTCTGGCAAGGTACCGCGTAAATGAGAAATCGCGGAAAGTGAAACCGTGTAAAGCGGGGTAATACTCTCTCTCTCTCTCTGTGTGTGTAAGTGTAAGTGTAAGTGTAAGTGTAAGTGTGTGTGTGTGTGTGTGTGTGTGTGTGTGTGTGTTGATTATATGTAGAAGTCTGCGTGCTTTAATGGGCTAATGAAATATATATGGATCCTCGTGTTTCGATGCCGGATTTGGTAAAACGTTGCTCTCATCACCTAAGAGGCACGGGTGGTCCCCATTTGAGGTTCACGGCGCCATAAGCTCGTTGAACAGGCTTTGTGTGAAATATAACAGAGTTTAGGACTGCTTTTAGTGTCCTGGTGGCCCCCCAGAGGTAGCGTTCCCCGGTCACAATTATAAGATCGTGGGTTCGAATCCTGGCGGGGCGTGGTGTTGATATTATATACTATATATATATACAGTTAACCCTCACTTTACGCGGTCCCGCATTCCGCGTTTCCACGTTAACGCGGTGCCTTGCCAGAACCTCACGTGCTCAAATTACGCGGTACGTGAACCCCATTACGCGGAGAGTGCGCAACGCTATTTTTAGATTCGCCCCACCCGCCACCCGCCCACCTGCCTGCCTGTGCTCCTCGCCTCTCCCTCCTCCTCCCTCCGCTTGGGCAAGCGGTGCGGTAAGGTTGCGCAGTGTGTGTCTTTGTTGCGTTATCACTGACGTCATATGACGTATCAGACCTGTGATTGGCCAGGCATCCCTACCCCCCTCTGCTGCTAGCTGTAATTGGCTTAAAGTATTATGACGTGTCCACCCGGGGGAGTGAGGCAGGGAGGAAAGACGACGCTTGACCTAGCCACGGCAGTTTCATCCCTCAAGGCCACACCGTGTAAACGCGCATCCATTGTTCCGTAAAATGGCTTCCGCCGGACCACCACCCCCAGAGAGAAACCTTTCATTACCTGGACCCAGCGGCACTAAGCCAAAGAAGACACGACGTTCCTTAAGCTACGAGGTGAAGTATACCATCATCCAAGAGTTGGAGAAAGGAACAAGGCAGGTTGATTTGGCGCGCCAGCATGGTGTGAATGAATCTACGATTCGAACAATAAAGAAGGATGCAGCCAAGATAAAGGAGCACATGAAGATCACAAAGTCTACAGGTGCTTCTATGATCATGTATTTTCACAACCAGGTGCTTCTCAAGACAGAAAAATTACTTGTGAGGTACTTGGTGCGTCAGGCGCGACGGAACATGGCGGTCGACACGCGCTCTGTTAAGGACTACGCACGT